TTTTTTGAGACAGAGTATCACTATGTCACCCTGGGTAGAGTGCTATGGCATCACAACTCCCAGCAACCTCAAACTCTTGGACTTAAGTGATTCTCTTGTCTCAGCCTCCCAAGTGGCTGGGACTACAGGGGCCTGCCACAATGCCGGGCTATTTTTTCATTATAGTTGTCATGGTTGTTTATCAGGCCCACGCCAGGTTCAAACCCGCCAGTTCTGGTGTATGTGGCTGGTCCCCTAGCCCCTGAGCTACAGGCTCCGAGCCTCCTCTGAACGTTAATGAATGAAAAATGTTTTAAAAATATTTTCAAGACAATCTTTAAAAATGTTTATTTTATTATTTTTTCTTCTTTTAAATTAGAGGTGGAGGTCTCTGTATATTACCAAAGCTGGTCATGAACTTATGACTTCAAGCAATCCTCCTAGCTTACCCTCCCTTGTAGTTAGGACTACAGACACTAGCTACTACACCTAGCCTCATCATTTGGCCTTAGAGCGCTGTCCCACTATTTAAACCTTTAAGACAGAGTACAGGGTTTCTTGGGGTCCACTGTGCATCTGGTGGCTGGGTGGTGCTCTTGGTGAGGTGGAGCTGGAGAGGGCAAGGGAAGCATAGACGACGCTGTCATTCTGGGAAAGAACCAAAAGAGAAGGGGGTTAGACATAGGGGTGGAATTGTCCCTATCTTAAGAAGCTACAACGTGAGAGCCCTACCCATACCCAGCTCTTCCCCACCCCAACTTGTCCAGCATCTCTTTAATTCTGTCAGGGCCTAGTCTGACTGCTTACCTTGGGGTTTAACTTGGGGTCTGCATATTGCCCTAGAAGAAAAATCAAGTTCTGAGGTTAGTAGTGTGAAAGCCAGGACAGAGAGATGGACAGGGTGCTCCAGGAGTAAGATTATCTGCCAGGTCTGGGCCAAGGTCATGACGGGAGATGGGGGAGGAATGGAAGTTTCCTCTGGCACTTATCCAGGTAGAGGGTGCTTGGAGAAGCACAAAGGAATGGTAGACTGTGGGGATGATGGTGGTAAGGACTTACTGTCATTCCCAATATTCTCATATTTCTCCTCCATGTTTTGGGAGCGTTCCCTGTATGAGAACAAGAGGATGAGAAATACATGAGTGCTGGGCAGTAGAGAGTTAGGGGCTGGTCTTCTCTGAGGGGGGCTCAGCAACCTGCCCTGACAAGTTCAGGATGAATGTGAGGGTTTTAGGCTGTCAGAGGAAGCTGCCTGGAAGAGGAATTAGAGGCA